TGATGTCCCCAACGCCCCCATGTTAAGGCCTGCTCCCCAGCTCAGTGTCACCAGAGGTGGTGCAGCTTAAAGAGAGGTGGGAGGTCCTTCAGCAAATGGGGGTGTGGCCTGCAGCAGACGGTGTGACCCCCCCCCTGGTCTCTCACCTTCTGCCATGGTTCGCCACCACAGGACCAGCCAGCTGGACGGAACCCTCCAAAACGGAGTCAGAATAAACCTTTGCTCTTTATAAGGCGGTTGTTTTGGGTATTTTGTTACAGTGACAGAGAGCTGCCTGGCACACCTGTGCTGAGAGGAAACCCCAGGAGCTGGCAAGATGGGGCAGACGGCAGTTTGGCCCCTTGGTGAAAGAGGAGGCTGTGGTCCCTGCCACTGGGAACGCAACAGAGGAGAGGAGGTTAAGAATTTCTTTGGTTTCCTGGTGCCCACAGGACCAGATTATTAGTGCCTGCTAGGGGAGCAGCAGGAGGTAGGGAGCAAAACCACACAGGCAGCCCCGGGGTGAGCCCGCCAGCGGTGGGGTGAGGAGGCTGCAGGCGGAGGAGGAGGCTGCCTGCATAGCCCAGAACCCCAGGTCTCTTCTGGGGGACAGAGGTGCAGGTTGTCCAGTGACCATCGGACCTGACACCTCACAGATCCGCACCATCGGCTCACAGCTGGGTGCACCAGCCCATCCACTAGGTAGGACAGCGCCACCCTGTCACAGCTAACGTCACAGCAATAATCAAGTCCCTTCTCTCTGGATCACTGTATGGTGCCGGGGATGGAGTCCAGGGCCTCACGGGTGCCAGGGCCGGGCCAACCCCTGAGCATCCCGGCTCTGACCCGGTTTCTCYTGCAGAGCTGCCTGTCTGCAGACTTCAGCAGCGTGAGCAAGAGGGAGAGAGAGGACCGCGGCAGGGGAGGACCAGGCTGGAGGGAGAGAAGGCGAGGAAGTCCTCTAGGAAAGACCAAGGTCTCTCTGGGGTCCAAGCCCAGGGAGCTCAGCCCCCAGAACCCACTCTGGAGGGATCCACACTAWTGTGGACCCTGTGCACACAGGGAAGGAAAACAGGCGTCCACAGAAGCACTGGCACACCTGCGTCCTACGGCCACACACACCCCGAGTGCCCTCCAGGGAGTGAACAGATAAACTCAAGGTGGTCGGCCCACACCATGGAGCACTATTCAGCCATGAAAAGGAACGAGGTACCCATAAACGCCACCATGTGGATGAATCTTRAAAACCTTTTACTAAAGGAAAGAAATCAGGCAAGAGACCACACGCTTTCTGACTCCGTCTATACCAAGTGTCCAGGACACAGGGCCAGAAGCAGATCAGTGGTGGCCAGGGGCTATAAGGACSCGGCGAGTACCTGGGAATGGTCAGGGGATTTCCCTGGGGAAGAGGACAGTGTTCTCAAATGAGGTGGCGGCGGCGGCGGCGGTGGGAACACTGTCACTGTCACGTGCCAAAAGCCACTGGACTGCACACTGTGCAGGCCAACTGTGTGTTCAGTGAACTGTGTGTTCTGTGAACTGCATCTTGGGGGCTTTCCGGAAGGTGCCTGGCGACTCACTCTCCCTCCTGTGTGTGCAGCCAGAGCTAGACGCTGTCCTGCCCCTCTGTATCTCAATGACCTTGGGCCTTAATTTCCTCCTCTGTAAAACAGGATTGTGACTCCCTATGGAGGCTGTTCCTTTGGAGGCTGCTCCCACAGTTAGATGAGATGCTGTGGGGAGTGATGTTGAGTCTGGGACAGAGCTGGCCAGGTGGTCTGTGGCCCGGGTGGTCAGTACCACCCGCATTCCTTGGGGAGGGATGGGGCTGCTGCCCAGAGCAGACTCCTAACTGCCTCCTTCCTCCCCTGCCTTCCTCCTGGTGGTCTGAGCTCCCCCAACCTCACCTTTGTCTCTTCTGTCCCAGGGGCTGCTATGACCGTGAGCCATGCGTGGGACCTGGGTGGCAGGCCGATGACAAGCTTGGCACCCCACCCACGCTGACCTTCAGTGGCCTCCCTCTTGTGGCTGCAAGCCCCTGCCTACCCAGGAGACCCTGGAAGGAGAGAAGGAACGGGGCACCTGGGAAGACGCAGGGACATCTGGCCAGCAGCRCGTTGAACTGGCGAGGCAGGATTTCACGCTGACCGCAGGCGGGCGCTGGTCTGCTGGCCTCTGATTGATCCCACTGAGGAGACAGTTGGCAGGACTCCCCACTGGGCCTCCATTCTGCCCGCGCAGGTTCAGAGTGCGGGACTGGGAGGAAGCACAAGTCCCAGAGAGCGGGATTCACGGACACCGGGCACACCACCTGCCCACTGCCTCCGACTCGGAAGGACRCGGGAGGCCAACGCCGTCATCACCCCATTGCACAGGTGAGGAGGCTGAGGACAGAGAAGCAGAGGCCCACAAGTGGTAGCAGCCGTGCCACCCCTCACTTCTGCCCACCTGCCCCTGGGAGGCAGCAGAGTGGACTGGCACAGGTCACCTGCGGCAGGTGCTGGCCACCTTGTCCCGAGCTTTCCTCTGCAGAAGCCTTGCCAGTCGCGTCTCTCGGGCCCCAACAGAAGCCCCTGGAGGACAGGCAGACCTCAGTGTGTCCGGGACCCTGTCCCCTGCCGCGGAGCCCTAACTGGGGGGACACGGAGCAAGGCCTCGGCACGGACAGGATCTGGTGGCCCGTTCCTGGCTGTGACGAAGCTCGTCCCTTTCTCCAGCTGTGGGGTTGAGGGGCGGCCCCCAGAGCCCGCGATGGTGACCTCATGTCCCTCTGAGAGACTGAAGAGGAGCCACAGTGACGATGGAGGCAGAGACTGGATGAGGCCGCCACAGGAAGGGACGCTGGGGCCAGCAGAGGCTGGACCTGCCTTCCTGGACCCCGGAGGGAGGGGCCCCGCTGAGCCTGTTTGGAATCTGCCGTCCTCAGCCACAGGGACGCACTTCAGGTCCCAGTCTCCTTGGGGCGCTCCGCTCTGTGTCCTGACACCCGCTGGACATGCCCACAGGACAGGCCGCGGACCCAGGTCTCCTCCTGACAGGCCTGGGTCAGATCTCCAGGGGGTCCTCCCCCACCCCGACCCCCGCTGCCTGCAGGGTGGGACGCAACGACATCTGGGTCTGCCGAGGGGCTCCTGAGAGCCCAGCACAGGACAGGGTCAGAGCAGAGACAGGGCCCTGTCCCCGGGAGCTGCCTCAAGGCCTCCCGGACGGCCATCCAGCTCTGTCTGTGGGCTAGCAGGTGGCCGGAGTCCAAAGGGGCAACGAAGGTGGAGCAGGGAGTCGGGGGACAGCGGCCTCACTCCCAGGGGTCCGACGGCGACTCCCGCCTTGCTGTAGGGACACAGAGGGCGCCTGGAGGGAGGGGTCCCAGCCCTGGCTGACACGAGCCGTCAGCTGGCTTGGCCAGGCGGCTCTTTGCCTACCCCCCCTCCCCCCGTGTCTTGCTGACCCCACCTCTGGCCCACTTCACCGGTGACTGTCCCCCTTTGCCCGAGCAGAATGGCTGGGAAATGGGATGACCGTCCTGGGCAGAGGTCCCCCCAGTGGCCCAGCAGAAGGCTCCCTCCGACCTCCCCCCTCACCCCTGCGCTGACTTCTGGGCCCTCATGGGTGCCCGTCTGTCTGTCTTTTTAAGATCAAATCCTGTCCCCCTTTTGCAGGGCAAGGAGAGGGAGAGTGGAGGAGGAAGCCCGAGGGCGGTTGATGGGGGGCTTACTTCAACCTCAGTTTCTCTGCAGTTTAAGTCTCACGGGYGTGAACGGCTGGAGGCCGCGGAGAAGCCAGCTGATTCAGCACAAAGTCATCTGAAAAATTCCCTTTCTGAATATAAATTGAGACATTTRATTAATTCCACACAGCACCGGGCCTTGGCTCTGCAGGAGAACACAGGCGTGAACGAGGCCGGCCAGTGGCTCTGCCCGGCCTCCTGCGTGGTACCTTGATCCCCCTCCCTGTGGGCCCGCCAGGGAAGGCCCATATCCCACTTCAAGGTGGGATGGACATGTGCCTCTCGGGCCCTGGCAGGTGGAGGCCTGGGGGACATTCTGGTTCTGTGTCCTACATATGGTCGCCAACTTCCTGACATCCTGCAAAAGAAGTGGCTTGGCTTGGCTTGGCAGGGAGTCTTGCAAGCCTAAGTCAGCCCCCAGCGTCTCTGAGGAGCCCAGATTTGCTCTGACGGGACCCATGACGTGGAGGGCTGTGGCTTCCTGCTCAGGACTGTGGGCTCTGACCGGCCACTGTCATCGCCAACCTAGACAGGGTACCTAGCCCCTCTGTGCCTCAGTTTCACCGTCAACTGCATAAAAACAGTGGACCATGGGTCAACCCCCTGGGAGAGGACATGCAGCTGGGTGGAATCCTCCCAAGAGATGGGCCTGCTGTGCTTCCCTTAGACTAGGGACACTGGAGGCCCTCAGGGATAGAGGCCCGTTCCTGCCTCGTGTGAGTATGAGGGAGCCCTCTGTTCAAGCATGGATTTGGAGAGAGGGCCCAGGAGGGTTCTCAAAATTCCTCCAGACCCATCCAAGCTTGCAGGGGGTGTCACAACCCAGGGAGGACCCTGGTGGCCCCATTACCCCAGAGTTCCCGGAGGCAGACAACAATCCTGTTCCAGGTGACAGCTCAGGACTCCTGGGGGGCTGAATCTTGACTAAACTGACCCTCAGAAAAGAGACCCTTCAGAATCTATTTTTTTAAAATCAGTTATAACCATGTTACGGACTGTTTGCTAAGCACGTTCCAGACCCCCGTCCCCTTGGACTGAACCACTGATTGTGAATAATCAGGGGAAAGGAAGAAGACCAGCCCTAACCCTAACCCTAACCCTAACCCTAACCCTAACTCCTTTCCAGCCTCTAAGGTTGCTGACAAGGCATGATGGTTCCCTGTCCGGTTCTGTGGGGTTTCAGAGTTGGGCAGCCCCCACCATGGCACACACGGGGGACGGGGGGGGGGGCGCTAGCCACCCTCCTTCCTGCTGGACTTCACGGCAGTTCACCTCTTCTAGTTACCTAAACCTACTACACGCCCGAGCCTGCGCGGGTTCTGCACTGGGGCGGGACGGCGCAGCCAGGTGGGTACCGGGGCGGTCCTCCTCTCACGCTGGGAAGCAGAGGTGCGCACCGTCTCCAGGCTTTACGGTAAGCGCGGAGCGCAGGGCCACCACGTGGCGGCGGAACCCAGGCCCGGCGGGAATGCGCGGAATGCACGGCGCGGCCTCGCGCGGCGCTCGACCGCGGGTCCCACAGCGCGCGCTCGCGCCTCTTCCCCTCCCCCGGCGAAAGAGCCCCGCACCCACACCCCAGCGGGGAGCCAGGCCCAGCGCGGCCSGCGGCCCCGGACTCGGCTTGGGGTCTGAACGCGCCTCCGCCGTCAGCCCACGTGGAGGGGCCCGAGGGATCCGGGGCAGGGGGCGGGCGCTGGGCAGGCGACCTCGTTCCCAAACCTGGGGACCGTTTCCCCTCCCGTTCCTTCCTCGGCCGGTGTGCGGAGGCCCAGAATTCGTAGGCTCCGCACAAAAAGCCCCGCGCCCTCCTCCCACCCCCAGGTCTGCGGAAGGACGGACCCCCGCCCCCCGGGCTTCGCGCCAGCAGGCAGGGGCGCCGAGGCCGGGCCTCCGCGCAGACCGTCTTCTGGGAGGGGCGGGTGGGAGCGCCCAGGACGCCCCCCGGGTCTCGGCGCGGGGCCTTCCCCCGGAAGCCCCGCAGCGGCGACCCGCACCTTCGTTTGGTGCTGAGTCGGCTGAGCTTGGGGTGGGCAGCGGCCCTGCTTGACCACGAGAAGCCAGGGCCGGACGTGGCCTCAGAGGCCATTACCCCATCCCGCCAGACTTTTTTACTTTTTGGCCTGGGGTGGCGGTAACTTTCTTCTCCATCTGCGCGCCCCCTCCCCACTGCTGGTCCAAGGCGGGCCCGCGGAAGGCGACTCTTAGGGACTTTGGGGTTTCTATTGCTCCGGACTCTGGGCTTGCGTTTTAGGGGGTGGGGTCGAGCAGTTGGAATCTTCCTTTGCCACCCAACGGGGATCCCAGCTGCCACTAGAGCCGAGGCCCACCCTGCCCGAGGGGCTTGCCTTGTACCGCGCACACCTCGYCGCGGCCCGCAGCCGGGGGAGGGGTGTCTCCCCGCAGCCTGCCGGGCCGCGCCGCGCCGGGGCGCTGGGGACAGGGTAGTCTGTGCGGCTCAAATTAACTGATCAGAGGCGGAAATGCGAGTCTGCGCCAGAGGGCAGCGGGGATGCAGTCCCCAGGGTTCCCACGTGGCTGTCCGGGGTGGGCATCCAGGCTGGAGTTGGCCCCCGCCCGCCCACGGCTTTGGGGCACCCAGGAGCAGCGCCTCTCAGTCCCGGAGGAGCTGCCACAACACGTGGGCCGCCCTGCGCGCCCCAAAAGTAGACAGTGTGGGGGAAGGGGAGCCCCAGCGCCCCCGGAACCTGGGCAGGCATTCGGAAGCGTCTTCCTGGGAGACTTAAGGGCTTAACAATGGCAAACTCGCAGGGCAGGAGCCAAGGCCTTTCAAGTTGCCGCCAGGTATGCGGCTCCAGGTGACCCCACCTGGGTGCGCCCGCTCACCTCCCAGCCTCTCCCCAGGGGCGGGGGCGGGAGCTCTATCCCGGCGGAAGCTCTGCGCTGGGCGGACACCCTCCCCAAAGCCCCCATCCTGGCGGCGCGCAGCCGCGTAACGTCCTGGGGTCTGGGCCGCGCGGGTTCCTGAATGAGCGCGCTCCCTTCCCCCGCTTGAATGAAGGTTCCCACAGCCAGGGACGGTGGCAAACACGCGCCTGCGGCGGAATTCACCCTCTCCCGGCGACCCTCCTCCGGGCCTTGGCTACCGAGGGGGGGCAGGGAGGAAAGCAGGAAGGTGATTTAAGTTAATTTTGGGTTTTCTTTCCAACCAACGTGGTTCCCTTCCGACTGGGTCACTTGCCCTTTGTCTCCAAATGGTCACCAAGAAATTAGCGCAGAGCACTTTAAATGAGCCCAGAATTCGTAGTTCCTGCTTCGCGGTGGGTTTTAAAAAGACAGTGCAAAATTAAATTGCTACAGAAAAGTTTTTTTAAGTTGTTTTTTCTCCTTAAAAAAAAAATCAAAATCAAAGTGCTTCCTCTGCACTTCTTAATGTAATGGCCTTCAGGGACCAGGAGCTGGTGGACCCCTCGCGGGTTTCAGAGCTCGCCTAGCACAGTGCCCCGTGTAGGGGGCTGGGCTGCTRGCGCTCCCGGCCGTGCCCAAATTCCAGCGCCTCCCCCGCGGGTTCCTGGACGGCAGTTTTCGCTCGCCGGTGAGGCTTGCACTTTTGCGCCTGTCCCTGAGCCTGGAAATCAACGAAGTTCCTCGTCGAGATCTGCCCGGTCCGCCTAGTAACAACACTGCGCCCCCATTGGCTCATGCTAATTCCAGTTTCCTCGTCTTTCCCGCGGTGGGGGACGCTCCCTTCGGGACCCGGAGCCCGTGTCGCCGGAGTGGGCGAGCCCCTTTATGCCCCGATGCCCCTCGCCCGCGAGCCTTGGTCCCGGCCTCGCCGCGCCAGGGCGCACGCGGGGCTCAGACCCCTCGCCCCCCGGGACGGGCGCCGCCGGTGATAGCGTGCGGCCCCATAAATCACCCGGGCAGCCGCCCGGTCCGGATTTTATGAATGAAAAAGCTGCCGGGCCGCCCTCGTGCGCAGGCTGGTGCTCCGAGGCTCCGCGGTGCTGGCGCCAAGCGCGAGCGTGGGCGCCCGGGGAGGGGACACACGGATGGCGCGCCCTGCCAGGGCCACCCACCACCTCCCGGGCTGGAGCGGGGGTCAGTGCCCTCTAGGACCCGGAATATTAGTAACACTAATTCTCGGCGGGGGAGGGGTGGCGAGAGAAACGGACCCTGAAAGGGGGRTGGGGGTCGCCTCTTGCTAGGCACCCTTTCGAGGGAGAGGGGGTTTTGCATCCGTTTTCTTTTGATCTTTTTACTGTCGGGGGGATACGGCGGTCGGATTCCCGAAACTACATTCAGAAGTAAATGAACAGTTTTAATTTGGGGGTGGGGGTAGATGTTGTAAAACTAAAAAAAAAAAAATGTGTAAGATGTCCTTTTATTAAATTTTTGAAAGTACCAAAAGAGGCAGAACTTATAAAAACTCTAAATTTGCAGGGAATATCAGGGACCCTTTCCTGCATCCTGGAACACGTATAGATTTTGTTGAAAATCATCAGGTCCCTACACTCATTCCAAAATTTAAAATTCTAATTGTTCTAGCTTTTGCCAGCCCCCTGGCGCTCACAAATGCAGCCCTAAGGCAAATTCTAAAGGGAAAGGAACTTCCACACCCGGCAAAACCAGTTGGGAAGCTTCCGGTGGTCTCTTCCCAGGCAGAGGAAACTAATATTCCCAAGCATTTTATTTTTTATTAATTAAAAAATGAGTTAGGACAAAGACCACTATTTCTCAGCCTTCCATTCAAAGGTGTGTTTCTCCCGGATAAATTGCAGCAGGCACTGTGGGGGGTAGGTATCTGGGGACCCAGGCAAGGTCTGACTGGTCAAGGTAGGCAGACAATCCACAGATCCCCCAGACGGGGACAGGATGAAGGAAATGCTGGCCACCATCTTGTTACTGGAATTTTCGGGCATTTATTTTATTTTTTGAGCGAGCGCTTTCTAGGCTGAAGTCTTTAATGCTCAGAGCTGCCCTCTTGGGTACTTGCAACGACCCCCGTGCTCTGGGATGAAACCGCCACCGGCGTGGTGTGCTCTGCCCCCGTCCCCGCATGCTAGATGGTTCCTGAAATTTACACGTGTTAATGAAAATGAAAGAAGACGTAGAGGCTGGGGTTCCTTGGCCCTCTCTCCGCGCGTGGGTGCCCTCGTGGCGTTCTCGGAAATGCGCCCATTCTCCCGGCTCGGATACAGAGTGTCGCTGCGCCCCAGAGCCCCCCTTCCACGCGGTGTCCCCCAGCTGCGTGTGGCCTGCCCGCTCTCTTAGTTGTACTCCTTCACAGAGCCACCTCCACTCCCACCCCCCAATCCCGGGTGACCCACTCGGGGAGGACGGCCCCCCTGCACCTCTCTTTCCCCGCGGGGAGAAAGGCCGCCGCGGGGCCATTTGCATTTCTATGAAAACCGAACTTCGGGGGCAACTTCGCGGCGGGACAGGCTTTTGGGTTCTGCCCCTCGCTGCTCCCGGCGCGCTGCGCCCGCGCCCCCTCCCCCTGTGCCCGCCCCAGTCCCTCCTCCCCCCCCCCCGTCCCATTCTCTGCCCGGCTTTGATCTCTGCTTAACAACAGTAACGTCACACGGACTACAGGGGAGTTTTGTTGAAGTTGCAAAGTCCTGGAGCCTCCAGAGGGCTGTCGGCGCAGTAGCAGTGAGCAGCAGAGTCAGCGCGCTCGGCTAGGGGCAGAAGAGCGCGAGGGAGCGTGGGGCAGCAGGAGCGAGCGCCGAGCGCGGACCTAACCCAGACGCGCAGCCCTTCGCGAGCGGCCCAGGCAGAGCCCCCGCCATGGCTCACCAGCTCCTGTGCTGCGAAGTGGAGTCCATCCGCCGCGCGTACCCCGACACCAACCTCCTCAACGACCGAGTGCTGAGGGCCATGCTCAAGGCGGAGGAGACCTGCGCTCCCTCCGTGTCCTACTTCAAGTGTGTGCAGAAGGAGATCCTGCCGTCCATGCGGAAGATCGTGGCCACCTGGATGCTGGAGGTGCGGGGCTTCTCGCTGCTCTCTTAGCACTTTCCTGCAACTTGTTGCTCAAACCCACATTTCCCCCCTCATCTCCCTCCCTTCTCTTCCCCTTCAACTTTGAAGTTTGTCGGGGTGTTGCTAGGAACCCGTCTTTTCAAAATAAATAAGATATTGCGGGTATTTTTGAACAAGGAAGGTGTGGGGGTTGGGGCATTAGAAATTCCCTTTCCTGGTGGGGGACGGTCGGGAAGAGGTGCCTTCGAGGGAAGCCGGTGCCAGGGTGCCCCGTGGGTTGCGAGGGTGCAGGCTGGGCGCCCTTTGTGGCCCCCCGCCTGCGCCCCAGTGCCGCTGCGCCTCTCTGGCTGTGGCTGCCCGGAGCCGCCGGYTCGGGGGGAGGGGGCATAGATTTGATTTTTAAATTAATATCCATGGACACGTATGCAAGGGCCACTCGTGCCAGTATTATGCGCCATCTTTGCTCTTTTATTGCAAAGCAAACGTGTTTATTAATAATTGGGGGCAGGGGGGGCGGGGAGTGGCCGGCGGGGCGCAGGGACAGGCGTGAGGGGCCGCGCGGTCAGCGGGAGGGGCGCAGTAGTGCTCAGTGACTATTTTGGGGGGACTCGACTCGGGAGGGGACCCTTTGTTCACGGATCGGGCCCGAGGCGCCCCGCGCAGGCAGCCTGGGCTGGAGAGCATGCTGGGCTGAAAGGTCGCGTGGCTCCCGAGATGCCCGGGACTGACCCCCCGTCTGCGTGAGTCTCTGCTTAAGGGACTTTTCTGGGACGAGCTGGGGGCCCAGGGCACATTTTCAGGCCTTCAGCAAACGCCTCAGGAGCCCGAAAGTATTTTTAAATAATTTCCGAAAGTGCAGCGTGGTGCCCTTGCGAGAGGGAAGCAGCGCCCGCGCCGGGGGCAGGGGGGTCCCGGGGTTTGAATCCCTGGAGCTCTCCCCGGAGCCCGCAACCAGCTCCCGACCCCCAGCGTGTGCCAGGGGCCGCCCGAGGAGCGTTTTCAGGGGGGTTTTAGGCACCTAGTTATTTTTTAAATATTTTTAAATATTTTTTGAAAAGATGACGTCTGGGGAAATGCGGCGCGGCGGCCTGAGACGCCACCTTTGTGTCTCGCAGGGCGGCGAGCGCGGCGCCCAGCACGGGGCAGCCGTGGCCCCTCTGCGCCCTGGTGTCCCCTATCGTAGTCCCGTGGCTCCCGGGCGGGTCCGGGGTCCCTCGTCGCCACCCCACGGCACCCGCCCCGCCTGCCTCGCGCGGACTTTCAGTTTCGTGTTGGGTGGGCACTGGGGACACGCGGCAGGGAGCGCATCGCGCGAAGCGTCTGCCACTCCCCGCTCTACCCTCTGCGCCCTCCCACGCGGGCCGGATAGAGGCGCGGGGTCGCACTGCGGGGGCCCGGCATTGGCGATCACGCCCAGGTTCCCCTGCAGGTCTGCGAGGAGCAGAAGTGCGAGGAGGAGGTCTTCCCTCTGGCCATGAACTACCTGGACCGCTTCCTGTCGCTGGAGCCCCTGAAGAAGAGCCGCCTGCAGCTGCTGGGGGCTACCTGCATGTTCGTGGCCTCCAAGATGAAGGAGACCATCCCCCTGACAGCCGAGAAGTTGTGCATCTACACTGACAACTCCATCCGACCCGACGAGCTGCTGGTAACCTAACCGCGGACCCCATCGCACTGTCGCCCAGTTAACTGCGGTACCCCGCGCTGGCGGTGGGGAGGCGGGGGTGCAGATGGCAGGAGTCCCAACCCACCTCGGACAGGTCTCCCGCGCCACCAGGGAACGTCCACACGATGGGGCCTCTGTTGTTGCACACTGAACCCCTCCGCCTCCACCCCTGCGGGGCACCCAGAGTCCCAACTCCCACCACATTTGCGTCCTCAGGTGCCGAAACGTGGGCGGCGCGCGCCCTCTAGCGGCTCGCGGCCTGCACTGCAGATTACAAGTTGTGGGTTCCAGGCGGTGGGAGGCCTTTTTGTCCCCAGCAGTCTCCTTCTCAGTGTGGGATGGAGCCTTTTTACTCTCACCTTTTCTGTTTGGGTCTGGGGTCACACGTTGCCCTGCTCTCTGCRCCTCGAACATTCGCAACCTTCCTGCCCCACCCCAAGTCTGCAAACAGAATGTAAGGCCAGGTGCTAGGGCTGCGGGGGGGCCCCCCTGGAGTAACTTGCCTGTCCTGATGCCTGTCCCCTATTATCCGCAGCAAATGGAGCTGCTCCTGGTGAACAAGCTCAAGTGGAACCTGGCTGCCATGACCCCCCACGATTTCATCGAACACTTCCTYTCCAAAATGCCAGAGGCCGAGGAGAACAAACAGATCATCCGCAAGCATGCGCAGACCTTTGTCGCCCTCTGTGCCACAGGTAGGGAGCCGGAGAGCCCCGGGGGCTTCCTTAAGTCACCCTGGCCAGTGGCTTGCTCTCTGGGGGGTCTCCTGTCTAGGAAGAGGTCAGGGGCCAGGTGGTGGTGGAAGCATGCCCTGTCCCCTTCACGGCCACCCTGCAGTGCACCGGAGACGGACAGTCTAGCCTTCCTCTGCGTGGCTGCTGCCCCCTCTCCTCCCTGTGCCAGGCACCCTGTGGCCACGCCGTGCTAAAAGGGGTTGACCTGGGCCGCTGGGCTGCCTGCCGCTACCCACCTCTAGCCCGCCCTGTGTCCTCAAGGAGCCTGGGCTGTGGGGGCTCCCTCCTGGCCCCTCCCAGGCTGGGCCACCTGCCAGGGGCGCCTGCAGGGGCAGGGAGAGCAGCCGGCAGTGCCTGCACCACGTGCTCCAGGCGGCCAGCAGCAGACCCSGTGCGGGGGCGGCCAGTGGAGGAGCCTGGGCGCCTGAGGCCCCGCTAGGGGCGCCTGGGGCCAGCTYTCCTCGGTTGAGTCTGGGAGGGCCTTTGGAGCAGCCTGGGCTGGGGCGCCATTTGGCAGCAGAGGGGGTCAGCCCGCCCTCCTCCTCCTCCTGGCCCCATACCCTAGATGGGAAGCCTGTCCTAACCCAGCATGGACAGACACACAGATGAACGGGCTGCCTCTTGCCCCCAGATTTTGGGACCCACACAGGCCATGTCCAGGAGGCCTCTTTACCCTGATGGGGGACCCAGCTCCTTCCCAGCTTGGCTGTGGCCCTGGTTAGGCCTCAGATGCTACTTCTGTTTGGAGCTCGCCCTGGGTCACTTGAGGGCCACTGGCAAGGTGGTATCAAAGGGGGCAGCTGATGTCTTCTCCCACCTCCCCGGAGGAGCAGAGCCCTGTGGCCTGGTCCTCTGGACTGCGGGTACAGGGGGTCTGGGCCTCCACAGTCCTGCCCTGCTGAGGTCCTCTTGAGCCAGGCCGGGGGTGGTGCTGAGAGTGTGGCCAGCCTGTTGGGGCTGGCCCTGGGCAGCAGGGAGCCCTCCTCTGGCTGGAGCTCCTCTGCAGAGCGGCTCTGGAGCTCTGGGCAGCCTTTTATGGATCTGAAGTGGCCGGGGAGACGCTGCAGTTTCCTAGAGGTGCTGCGCTGGACGGGCCTGGCCTCCCTCAGCCTCCCTTGCTGGGCCTCCCCTGCAGGCCCCATGCTGGCAGGGACTGCAGAGCACTCAGGCTATGGCCAGGTCTCCTGGCTGCTCCAGGGCCTTTGACATGGGGCGCCACAGGAGCCCCCCACTTCAGCTTGGCACCTGCCCGTGGGCAGGGCTCTGTGGTGGGCCTCAGCCTCCTGAGTCCCTGGGATCSCAGGTGTGCCTTTCCTCGCGGGCCCTGGTGCTGCCTGTTTGCACACAGCTTGGTGAAGGCAGGACCGGCACATTTTCCCTGAGCACATGACTGAGTGACGGGGGTCTCGGCAGGGCCAGCCCTGCCCCAGCTCCCGCGACCGTGTGTGCCCTCACCCATCGTGTGTGCCCTCACCCATCGGACCGCCGTGGAAGTAAACGTCGGAGCTTTGGGTTTAATTCTGGCTGTCCCTTGCCGGCCTGCGTGGCCACCCTTCTGCCCCTCCACCTGGGGGTGGGGCGCGGGCTTTGTGCTTTGTGCCGTGGCTGCGGAGGCCGCCCCACCCCCGCCCCCCAGCACGGACCTCTCCGCTGTCCCTCAGGGGCAGCTTTGCTGTGTGCCTGATTTGCCTCATGAAGCAGTCTCTGGGCTCTGCCCAGCCTGGCCGAGGGGCTCCGTGGCGGKGGAGAGGCAGATTTCTTTTTCTAGTCTGTGACCCACCCAGGAGCGGGGTCTGCCTCAGGTGCCTGCTTTTCCTCCCTGTCCCTTAACAAGGCATGAAGCCTCGGGTGGYGGCGGCACCCCAGCTGGTGGGGCCCCCCTGGGGCCAGCCGGCTGCTGTACAGCTCACTTGAGACCCCTGTTCCCAGGCGCTCGGTGGCACGAGATGAGGCTTTGGGAGTGGACAAGAGTCACACCGTCCCTCCCCTCGTTCAGGCCTGGCCCAGGGCCCAGGTTCCTAGGTGACGTTGGTGACCATCCCCACCAGAAAGTCCTCATGGAGGAGAACAAGAAGGTGGCCCTCGGGCCCTCGGGCTGCTCTGGATGGGGGCAGGTGGGAAAGAAGGAAGCGGGTGCCCCTGACTGCAGTGGTCTGGGGGACCTCCCAAGCGTCGTCCTGAGGGGAGGTCCCTGCTGTGACTTGGGGAGGTGAGATGGCCACCCGGCTCAGCACTGGGGCCTACCTCCCACCACAGGGGCACAGGAGTGTGGGGTCCCTAGGACCCAGGGAGGGAAGGGGCGGGACGGCCTCGGGAGGCTGGGCCGTGGGCCTGCTGTGGCCCGGTGCCGCTGCCTGGGAAGCTCTGCTTGGCTGGCCATAGCTGCCCGCTTGCCTGGCTGGGGCATCTCGTGTGGCAACCAAGACATGAACCGTGTGTCTCCCAACTCTGGAGATCCGGAGGCGGGGAAATGGTCAGGTGTGGGAGGAGGCACAGAAAGCTGTCCCTGGCTGACGGAGCTGACAGCAGAGGGCGGGAGTGGGCCTTGCCGAGGTGGGTGGCCGGAGGGCTCCTTCCTTCGCCGAGCGCCAGGCCAGGCCCTCCCGGGGCAGCTGGAACATGACTGCCCCATCACACCCTCCCTGCTGGGTGCTGTCCAGGGTTCAGTCGCTGAGGGACTTGGAAGCGGCTGGCTGTCCACACTCTGTAGCTTTGCGGTGGCCCTCTGGAATGGACCAACTCTCTGGAGTCCTTGCTCCTAGGTAGCAGCAGACTCTGATGGGAGGCGTGCTGGCTATCCCCCGGCGACTCCTGCTGTCCAGGCGCCCAGCGGTGTGGAAGGCTGGGAAGACCTGAACGTAGGGCCAGCGTGCCTGAATTGGGCGGTCCTGCCATTTCCCCACTCTCAGCCCCTTCTCCCRCTTTCCTGCAGACGTGAAGTTCATTTCTAACCCACCCTCCATGGTGGCCGCTGGGAGCGTGGTGGCCGCAGTGCAGGGCCTCCACCTGGGCAGCCCCAACACCTTCCTGTCCTGCTACCGCCTGACCCACTTCCTCTCCAGAGTGATCAAGTGTGACCCGGTGAGTGATGGGAGCCAGAGACGTCTAAAGCCGGGGGGGGGGGGGGGGGGGGGGCTAGGGCGACCTGGGGAACGACGGGGCTGGGGCCTGCTCAGCTCAGGACCGTCCAGGGGGCTGAGCAGGGACTGTGATGGTCACAGCTGACAGGGCCAGCTTCTCCCATCCCTCCCAGGGGGCCTGAGGCTTGTCAACTAGACAGAGGGTCCTCACAGGCTGCTGTCACCCCACTAGGAGTCCCAGGATCAGGCAGGAGACAGCCACCAGCAGGCGGGCTCTGCACACCTGGTGATGAACTGGGTGGTCATGGGGCTGGGCAGCGCCACCAGGCCGTGTCTGGACCACAGTGTGTGTGGCCAGTGAGCAGCGCCTTGAAGGGCTCTTGTGAAGCCCCAGCCCCTGGCCCAGGTGGATTAGACCAGCGAGGCTGGGGTCAGCTCTGCCCGGTGTGCTGGAGGGAGTGGCCCTGGGCCTTAGCCCTGGCTTGGGTCCAGGTGGGCTTGCCGAGGCTGCCCTTGGCCGTGGAGCATCTAGAGGGCTCCTGGGGGTCCCAGCCAGACACTCTGCCTGCTTGTCCCCAGCCCGGGCCCTCCTGCTGGACAGCTGGCAGCCCAGCCTATGCATGACCCCTGAGAGGGTGAGACACCTCCCTCCCACCCACCGCCTGGCCTCACCTGCTTGGGGTGAGCGTCCTCTCCTGGTGTCCCCCAGCTGCGAGGACAGAGCTGGAGAGGAGATCTCTCCACAGAAACAAAGTGCTGGGCTGAGCCAGCTCTGGGCAGGGTGCCTGCCCAGCACGAGGGGYCCTGGTTCCACCCCCAACACGTGGGTGAGGCTGCTCGCCCGGCGGCCACTCATGGAGGGCTTCCCGGGTACCTCGCTGGCCGACAGTGGGTGCCTCCTGGCCGGTACAGGAAGGGCCGCAGCTGCCCTTGTGTGAATAGAGACTGTTTTAATTAGATGTTAATGACGCGCACCAGAAAGAGCAGTTGAGGCTGAAATGCCTGTTGGCTTTCCCAGCCAGACGGACTGAGCTGGACACAGAAGGTGCCCCAGGCAGCAAGGCCCTGGACTCCTCCCTGGCGAGCTGGGCTTCACTCCCACACGGGCTCTTCCTCTCCTCCTGTGGCCTGGGCCCAAAYCGCCTTCCCCAAGTCCCCTGCCAGACCACGGGCCTCCTGGGGGCAGCCTCCTTTGGCAGACCAGTCCACAAAGGACTCCAGTGTAGCAGAGGGTGTGTTCCAGAAATGTCCATGTGCCCCTTGACCAGGGAGCAGACAGCCCTGCCTGGGGCTTCTGGCCACCAGTCAAGGGCACCGTCCACTGGGGAGGCCTGGCAGGACAGTTCGGGGACAGGGACAAGGCAGAAAGTGCCCAGAAGGCCTCGTCCAGCCCACTCTGATCTCAGCGTGGGATGGAAGCTGCAGTCAGAGTGGGGCTGCCGGGAGGGCGCACAGCCAGGCGGGGTGTGGCAGCCCGGGGACCACTCTTGCACCTCTCAGTTGCCCCCTCCAACACGGGGCTCCCAGGGCGCCAGGGGCTCCTTAGAAGGTGCCTAGAGGGCTGGCGGGTGCAGCCAGGGCTCCCGTCCAGGGCTGTGGACTCAGTGTTCCCATCTGTAAGATGGGACTGCACCACCCCCTGCTGCCCCATCCACCGTGATAAGCGCTGCACGTGGCCCTGGGGCCCTCAAGCCCTGCTGGCCTGGGGCCATTGGCAGTGCCACCTTGCTTGAGAAGTTAGGCTGCACCGTGTGACCCCTGGGCCCTGTTCCTTGTGGGAAGGGGTTTCCTAGGCCAGAGACTGCTGGGTCTCAGAAGCCCACCTCTGTGACATCCCCGCACTGGGGACACACAGCCTGACACTGCAGCCAGCTTCTTTACTCAGAAGCCACCCAGCACCAAGAACAGCTAGAGGGCGCTGCTGGGAGACGCCTCCTGTGGAGGCCGGGAGGGCTCTGGGGGTCCAGGGCTCCTCTTACCCTGAGGTGCAGGGCCGCTCTGCCGGGGAGACCCCAGCCCAGCATGCAGGTGCGGGCTTCCAGGAACCCCCCTCGCGCACTGGCCGTGTGCCGGGGCCGCAGGCTGCACTGGTGGGTTCTCAGTTGCAGGACTGGGGCCCAGGATGCAGCTGTAGGGAGAGGACCGTTTGGCCACACCTAGGGAAGACCAGGGGCACCTCAGGGCGGCCTCCTTGCTGGAGCTCGGAGGGCTTCCCTGCTCAGGACATGTGCATTCCGGGCCTGGGGTGAGGGTTCTGGAGGGTTCCAAGAAGCGGGTCTCTGCTGGGAGGTGGGCGAGGCAGGGGACACCTGGTGTGTGTTTTCCCACAAGACGCCACGGTCTCATGGCAGAGGCAGAGGCAGAAGCATTTATTCCCAGGCGGGGTCAGCCGGCCAGGGGCTGCCGGGGACCAGAAGTGGCACCTGTGACTAGTTCCCTGGCCGACATTGGGGCTGAGGTCCTGTGTGGGCCTCCCCCTGAGGACCCCCCTCCCGCCGTCTCTGCAGGACTGCCTCCGCGCCTGCCAGGAGCAGATCGAAGCCCTGCTGGAGTCCAGCCTGCGCCAGGCCCAGCAGAACCTGGACCCCAAGGCCAACGAGGAGGAGGTGGAGGAGGCGGCGGGGGCCGACCTGGCCTGCACGCCCACCGACGTGCGGGACGTGGAYGTCTGAGGCGCCCGGGCGGCCGGCCCGCGGCACCACGGAGCACCCCGCAGCCTGGGAGGGGCCGCCCGCAGTGCTCCRGGCAAAGTCCCTCTCTTCAGGGACATTTTGCTAACAGAAGGGAAGGTCTCCTTCTCCTTTCCTCTTTCTCCGTCTCTGACTTAAGCAAAAGAAAAGAAAAAAAAAAAATCCTGAAAACTGTCTTTAAAAAAGAAAGAAAAGATAGAATTTGCATGACCTTGAGTGGGGGGAGGGGGTTGTGCTACAAAATAGAGGATTTTACTCCGTGATCAAGTAGCTGTATGTGAATGTGCTCGTGTCTCTGTAAGGATAGCATGAACACGCACGAGGGTCCCCGAGGGCTAGGTCGGATTCTTTGTATGTGTTCAGAAAAGAAAAAAGCATAAAAACTTCTTAAAAAAAAAAGAAGAAAAGAAAAGAAAAATTTGAAAAACCATTTTAAAGTAGAAGAGGGTTAGGTAGGAAGTGTGTCCCCGCTCCCCCGAGAGGCACGGCTTCGCACGGCCCTAGCTCTGTGCCGCTTGCTCATCACGTAGTGAACTCATTGTGTGTTTATCTCCTAGGTAGGTAGGCGTGTGACCTCTGCAGCTTGCCGATGGGTCAGCATGGTGTGGGGCCGGGCTCTTGTGCCTGGGGACCCCCGCCTGGGCACCAGTCTGCAGGTGCCAGCCAGGGAGCTCGGGAAAGGCCAGCTGTCCACCACCACGTGCTGCTGTGGAGGGAGGCAAAGAGCGACATGATAGATTCTATTTTTATAATCTTCCTATTTTTGTAGTTACCTGCTCGTGAGATGCTGGGTTCTCACCCGTCGGTCCTGCCGCCTGTTCACATCAGGTTCAATCCACAGCTACTTTCTTCTTATCATTTTGGGGTTTTGTGTTTTCTTTCTTGATATTCTAAACCGTTCCGTGTCAAAGCACTTTGGTCCAGCAGTTAGAGGCCACTTCGCTGTCACGTGCGGGGAGGTTTCCCAGTGGGGTGGCGGGGAATACTCACGTTCCTGCGGGCACAGGACCGCAAAGGTGTGACACCGTGGTGTCAGCGAGAGGGTGTTCCTGAAGGTTTTGTACCAGTCAAGAAGAAAAAGGTCCGTGTCACGGTGCCAGGATGCAGGCCCCTTCCTGTCCTGTAGAGAGGTCAAAAAAGTTCGCGGGAATCCTTTGGTGCCAACTGGTGTTGGAAAGTAGGGACCTCAAAGGTTCACCTAGAGAACAAGTAGTGTAAGGGTTACTCTTAGGTATTTCACAGCGGAAGGTTTTTAAACACTAAAATATATAATTTATAGTTAAGGCTAAAAAGAATATTTATTGCAGAGGATGCTCGTAAGGCCAGTATGATTTATAAAGTGATGCAGTCTCCCTTGATTTCGACACTCAACCCTTTCTGCCTTGGAGCTGCAGGTGACAAGATGGGGCCTTTGGTCGGTGAGGGAAGATCTCCAGAGAGACCGCCCAGACCTGGACTCGGCCTGTGGGGCCTTGCCCAAAGTGGTCTGCTCTAGAGGCACCCGAGGCACAGGGACGCCGGGGTGCTGGAGAGGAGAGGGGTCCAGGACCTTCTCTCCCTGCCATCCTGGCCCTGTACCTTTGCATTGAGGACGTGTGGAGGGGAGGTGGCAAGAGTGTGGAGGCTGAGGCGGAGGCTGGAGAGAGCACGTGAGGGAGGAGTGTGGCGGGAGGCTCCGAGGGGACGGGCAGTGCCCACAGGAGGGACAGGCCGTGGCTCCACTTCCTATTGCGCTGCTACCGGTGACTTCCCGCAGTCGGAAACTGTTCACAGCTTCTCTGTATCTCTTTCACGTTGTTTTGCTGCTATGGGAGGATCAGTTTTTGTTTTACGATGTCATATACTGCCATGTGCTCGTTTTAATTTTCTCATAGAAAATTGTATTACAGATGCCCTTTTTTGTAGTTTTTTTTTTTTTTTTATGTGATCAATTTTGACTTGATGTGATTACTGCTCTATTCCAAAAAGGTCCCTGTTCACGATACCTCATGCTTCACTTAGCCATGTGTAGACCCACCAGTCGGCTCTGTCTGCCTCGTGGACAGACACACAGACGAATCCCAAGACGTCCAGGAGACCTGCCCAGGCCTGTCGCTGCCCAGCTGTGTCCCTGCGCCTGTAGTGCTGGGCTCGGCCGGCCTGGACGTGCCGTTGTGGCGTGGCTTTGCCAGCTGTGCCGCTCTTGACGTGTAGTTATGAACATTGCATGTTGTTGTTATGATTGTGATACCCGTCTGTCTTACGTGCCACTGTGGTGCTGGGCCGTAGGACTCGTCATTGGGATGATGGGAATCGCTTCTGGAATTGTTGGAGTTTCGGGTGCGTTTCCTCTGTTCCATGTGCTAGTGTTCTGTTTGTTCTTGTTTGTTGATTACAGCATGATGCTAAATTAAAGACTCCAAATCTCAACCAAGCCAGCTCACAGTGCCGTGTGCCCGGTCCCCTAGCGAGCTGCCAAACCCAAAGGATCTGTACCCTGGTGCCCCGGCGGGGTGGGTCTGTGCTGGGGGCCTGGCGGGTGCCGGTACAGGACTGGCCTCCCGCCCTCCCTCCAGAGCCCCGTTTCCACTTACCGCRACCACCCTGGCTGCGGCATCTGCCTGAACCGAGCAGGGTTCTCGAGGGGGTGGTGTGTCCATAGTCGTGGGTGGGGTCAGCTGTCTTGAACACTGCCCGAAGGCCCAAGGCTCGTGGCAGGTCCACAGAGCACAGCAGTGTGTCCTGTGATGCGAGAGCCGGCGAGGGTCTGGTGGTGGGCAGCCTGGGTCTGTGCCTGGTGGACACTCAGTGCTTCCCAGCACAGACAGGGAACTGGCACGTTCCCAGCAGAGACACAAACAAACATGAAAAGTCTAGAAATAAAATTGGTGAAACCCCAGTGTGTTGCCAGGCCTGCTGGAGACAGGGAGGGGCGCGTGGCCAGGTCATCCTGTGCTCTGCGGTGACATCCTGACCTCCACCTGCCCCTTGACACCAGCAGTGTCTGCTGACATTGTCAAATGATTTCTCGTGGGTGGGGGCCAGACCCCACCCAGCTTGTAGGTGCACATCTGGGAGGAGTCCCTGGGGTGCCAGGAGGGAGGGGCAGTTTGGACCCCAGGAGATTCCCCAGCATTTGCAGGTGGMGTCTGGGACCACACAAGCCAGCAGTGCTGGCGCCAGAGACACTAGCGGTGCCATTGATCAGGAGCATCTCCTGGCCCTCGCAGCCAGTTTGCCCTCCCCGGGTTATTGCATCTGGGAAGGTAAACAGAGGCGTGTCCACTGGCCCTCTCCTGGCGCAAACTGCTGTGTGCTTTGGGTGAATCATGGTCCTTGGTGCTGCCAAAGCTCGCAGCATGAGGGCCACCGACCAGGGCAGCCTTTCACACGGCGCCTGGGGGGCCTTGCTGGACCCCTGCATCATCTGCCTCTGGCTTCTGGGTGTGACTAGGTCCCAGCCCCGGGGAAAGGGGTGGCCTGGGAAGCCCTGGCCGTGGTGGTGCTGGTGGGCTCCTGCGCTTCTGAGAGGAGRGTGGGGTGTGCAGGAGACGCCTGGCCTCCATGGTCACTGCCAGCCCTTCTCTCCTAAAGGTGGGGGCTCCCGAAGGCAGATGAGGCCCCTGGCAGTGTCACAGCAAGAGCTCTAGGGAGCTGGGAAGGCCACTACCTGGCTCCTCCGATGACTTCGATGACTTCGGAGAGCCCAGCCTTCTTGGGCAGAGCCACCTACAGTGAAGCGTCCAGGCTCACCATGGCAGGGGCCCAGCTCTGACCAGAACTAGGTCCCTGTTGGGGCAGGAAGCCAGGTCCCCACCCTAGGCCCATGTGACTGCAAGCGTGGCCTAGGTCCTGCTGTCCAGTCGGGGAGCAGCGAGGCAGGGGAGGGCGCCCCCAGACGGGCAGGCAGGGAGGAGCGTACCAGGGGCAGGGCAGAGGGGCCAGCAGGGAGGACGCCCCTGTCAGGTGGAGGAGGGTTGGGGCCCAGGGCAGGGTTCCCCGATGGCCTCCTCGTTGGCCTCGGTGCCCACAGTGATGGCTGACCGTTGAAGCACACTCCTTGGCCAGGCAGTGAAGCCCACGATGTCGCTGGCGCCCCAGACTGTGATCCTTGCCCTCAAGCTCAGCTGACCCCCAAGGTGCCCTGCTGGTGCTGGTCTCTCCAGTCACAGAAGGACAGCAAGACCTGCCCTCTGAGGGTCTCTGGAGATGAAGCCTTGCTGGTCAGCTCTCCCTGCTACCCAGTTGGTGGGGCCCTYCTGCCCCCCGACCAGCCTGCCAGTGCCCAAGCAGCCCCCCTCCCTCTGTCCACAACCCATGGGGCTGCCTCTCTGCTTCCAGCTGGCCCGAGGCCCCTGAGGCCCTGCCCTCCCCGCCTCCATTCCCTGGACCTTGGTTCTGCCCCAGGCTTTGGGCATGCCCGACTGCTCCAGGCTCCAGGTCCTGGGCCTGTGCCGTTGCCTGGCCCTCCACCCCTGACCATCTCTGCTTGTTCCTCAAAACAAAGGCGGCCTCCGTGAGGGCGTCCACACCCTCACAACCATCCGCTTTGGTCCTGAGCCCCTCCAGGGGATGGAGGTCAGGGGCTCCAGGGGTCACCTCAGGCCAATCTCAGCTACTGTACTGAGTTGTGGGCACTGAGGAGGGTCGGGCTCACTCCCGGGGCCCAGGCAGCAGCCTGGGTCATCAAGATGTGGGGAGAGGCTGGCAGAGTGGCACGTGCGTGTTTCTGGGGGGAAGACCGGGTGGGCAGYGTCCCTCAGCATCCAGAGGAGCGAGGGCCCCGCGGCAGTGCTGTCCTGCTCATGATGTGACCCTCCCAAAAGGCCCTGCAGCAGGGCCTGGCCTCACATCTGTTGGATGGCGGCCTCTGCCTGTGCCCTCCGTCACCGTCACTGTATGCAGGCCGTGTGCCGAGAGCACGCTGCACGGTGGGCCAGGCCAGCAGGCTGCGGCAGGCTGCCCTGGCCGGCAGGGGCACGGGGTGCGCGTCCCCCACGCTGGGCATGCTGGGCTGGCCTCTCGCAGGGCTCTGTCATCCCAGGAATGTCTTTGATCAAGAGTTTATGCAAGACGGGGAAGAAAGCCCAGGACCTCTAATCCGTTCCCACAGTCCCCCTGCCGCGGGGCCCCACCAGCCCAGCGCCACACTGCAGGGCGTCGCGCAGACAATAGCCCGCGGACGGGTGGGCGGGCAGCACTGGGGCGGCTGGCCTTGGGGCCCACATCCGGGGGCCATTGTCACCACCACTCACAGGGGCACACAAGGAGGACTGGGAAGAGGGAATGTGGAACTCTCCGCTGAGGGGCTTTGGTGGCCTTGAGCCTATCAAAGCCGGCGTCCATTAATCCTTTAATTTTCACCTAGCGACAGCGGAGGCGGGCCCGCCAGTGGCGGCTGCTCCAGAGCTAAATGGCCCAACCAGGACCAGCTGCCCAGACCCCAGTCCTGCCGGGCCTCAGGGGCGTCTTCCTCACCCTCGTGTGACCATGGGCAGGGGCCGGGGCAGCTCAAGTTCATAGTGCGCCTACTGTGTGCCAAGCGAGGTGCCGAACACCACTGAGCAGTTCTGCCCCAGCTCCCAGAATGCCCTAATGAGCTGGTGACAGGCAGGGGACACACTAGTAAGCTGTGTGGCCCTGGCCCTGGCCTGCTCTCCTGTAGTTGCACTCTGACAGTGCATGACTGCAGGTCAGCAGGGGACGGTCAAGGCACCGTGTTGTGCCTGGTCAGCCAGACAGTGGAGTGAAGGATGCGTGGGGCTATGTGCCAATAAAGTTTTATTTACAAAAAGGGCAGCAGAGGAATATTTGGTGGCCCTTTTGCAGGTGAGTAGGCGAAGCCGAGGGGAGGGTGGGGGTCCACCGGGCCTGCACAGCATGGCTGAGCTCCCTGGGCGGCAGCCTCCCTCCTCCCTCAGCCCAGGCCCTGCCTCCTTCTGTGGCGGAGCTGCGGTCTGCGCACTGTGCTTCTCGGTGTGTCCCCCTTCAGGAGGACCCCGCCACAGTAGACCGAGGGCCCATCCACCCTGGGGCAACCTCATCTTAACTTACAGCTTTGTAGACGCCGCAAAGATCCTATTTCCAAATAAGGTCACAGTCCCAGGTGCCAGGGCTGAGACTTCAGTGTTTCCTTTTGGAGGACACAATTCCACTGGCAACAGACCCGGCTGAGCTCTCAAAGCCAAGCAGCAGGCTCAGCAAGCCCCTGCTGTTTCTGGGGTGCACCCAGCAGGGGAACAGCAATGCCCAGGTACCCCTGCTAAGAACATGAGGTCAGCCCTCTCCACGCTGGTCCCGCCACCATGTGCCTGATGCTTGGAGGACCCCGGCAAGGGATCGCCCAGCACAGAGGCCCCAAGCCCCATGACCAGAGGCCAACCAGTTGGTTAAAGGGACTGGGGAGCTCTGCCAGGGCACCCTCCCAGTGGAGCCCGATGCCCACTGAGAAATCATCAGCCCTGCACAATCACGGGACATTTAGGGGCAAAGAGCAACTTTCCCTGGAAAAGTCCCGACACAACCAAGTCACTGAGCCTGGGGGGCAGTCCCTTTCGCTTGGACTCCCGTGTCCTCTGACACTGAACTCGGCGCCCATTTGCTCTGATGAGCCCCCAGAGCTCAGTGTCTTCAGTTTCCTGAGCTGCAACTCTCCATCCACCAAGGACCACTGCGGCGGTCAGTCCRTCGGGATGAGCTCAAAGCAACCTCAGTTCTGTTATCCAGGTCGCCCGGGTGTCCCCAGGGCAGTGCAGCAGAGAAGAGGTTCTGCAACTGGAAGGTTAATGGGAGGCTCCTCAGGGGCCTCCCGGCCTCGTCCCCAGGCATAGCAGAAGGCCACCCCGGCCTCGGGACTCCCAGGGGCCACACACACCCCTGGGAGAGCTGCCCACAGGGCCTGGGGCAGCGGAGGGCTCATTGGTCACTGCTTGTCCTCCTCCTGGCAGCCAGCACAGGTCCCGCGCCTGTCCCTTCCTCAGACTTCGAGATGTAAGACTGGCTGCATGACGGGCTGTGGACTGGAGAGGCCTTGCCAGGAAAATGGCCTCAGGACGAGTGACCAGCAGATTGCTCAGGCCCTGTGTGCTTCCCCTGCAGCCTGCGGCCAGCCGCTGACCACCGCCATGGGCAGACTGTGACCAGCAAGGCGGAGGGAAGCAGCCAGCTCAGCGACTTGAGGCCAGGGGCCGGCCGCCAGCACCCAGGGCCAACAAGGCTTCTCAGCCCCTCTGCCACCTCCTCCTCCTCCACTCCCCACGGTGTTAAGGAGAGAATGCAAAATCAAGAGAAAGTGAGAGGTGGCCTTGTTCAGCACAGCTGAGTGGCTGCGAGTTAGCCACTGCCGTGACTCGACTGCCGTGACTCGGCTCCCGTGGGGGCTGACCTTGCCTATGCCCAGCCGCTGGCTCCTGCAGCACCCAGTCATGAGACATCCACTTTGGAGAGGTGGCTTTACTTGCCCTCAGTTCCAAGTTAACTGTCGCTGCAGCCAGAGGGGCTCCTGCGATAGCCTGGACCAAGCCCCCATGGAATCGGTGCACTAAGGCCCTGATCCCCTGCCTCCTGTGTGACAGTATTTGGAGAGAGGGTCTCTAAGAAGGCAATAAAGTTAAAATGAAGTCTCAAGGCAGGGCCTAATACACCTGAGGATCCTGAAATCAGGCTGGGCGCAGGGAGGCACACCAGTAACCCCAGAGACTCAGAGGCTGGAGCAAGAGGATCGCAAGTTCAAGGCTAGCTTCAGCAACTCAGTGAGGCCATCCCAAACGTTATTTTAAAAGGGCAGGGAAGGAGGCTCTGTGGTGGAGCAAAACCAACAAAAGCCACATCAGGATGCAGACCCAGGACGCCAATGTGAGGACAGGGAGAAGACTGTCCGCAGACTAGAAGAGGCTGCCAGAAGACCAGCCCTGCGGCACCCTCATGGCCCCTCCAGCCTCCAGGAGGCAAGCCACGGGCCTGTGCCTCTGTCATGGCAGCCAGGAGACTGGTACAGAAACGTATGCAGTGGTACAAAGCGCACTGAAGCTCTAACAGGAAGGAGGGGCGGCCACGCCCTAGGAGACCCACCAGAAGGGATGAAGTCCAAGCCAAGGCCTCACGGACGAGGATCACCACCCAGAGACCAGCCTGACAGGATGGTGCTGGACAGGATGGGAGGCAGCAGGCAGGATGCTTGTCTGCAAGCAACGGAAACACCACAGCCTCGGCCAGTGGACAGGGGTGGCTCTGAGCGAGAGGCCAGTTCCTGCAACAGTCCTCTGGGCACCAAGGCCCAGGCTCCTTCCAGGGCCTCGTCACCTGCAGTTGGCTGCACTGCCTGTGCTGGCCCGGGGCTCACATCCCAGAGACAGCGCTTCCTTCTCCGGAGTGAGGTGACCCTTCCCACAGATGCCAACCTCCACAGCCAGGAGACGAGATGCAGCCCCTGCTGGCCCAGCCCTGGAGGCCCCCGGCTGTTACGGAGGCCCCATCTGCACAGCAATCTAGGTCTGGCTGGGAGACCCAGGCATCCCCAACACTGGGCCCAGTACTCCAGGAAGGGCCAGGAGGGCACAGGTCAAGGTCGGTGTCCAGGAATCTTGAAGATGACCAGTGAGCAGGTGCAGCTCCAGAAGTGGTGGCTGCTGCTGGGACAGCAGCAGGGGTTTGGGGGGGCAAGGGGCTGAGGAGGGAGGGAGGGCATGCCAGGGGTACTGCACTGGCTGTGGGCAGGCAGRCAGACAGGGCAGCAGGATGGATGAGGTGGCCCCCAGGGGCTGGGGGTACAGGCCTCCTCTGTAGGCAGACCCTGACCCTCCAGAGGGGGATCACTGTGGCTGGAGTGGTTACAAACAGTCCCAGAGAGAATTTTGCTTTAAAGTGTTTATTTTTCCAATAAGAAAAATAATACATTATTAAACAGGTAAGTTAGAAAACAGAGAAACCCACCGTGAAGCAGCAGCCAGAGGCCCTCAGACCCTGTGCCCGAGGGAAAGCGCCGCTGGTCCTCAGAGATCGGGGAGACACAGGAGGCGGAGCGCCGCAGGACTTCTAGAGGCCTGGATGGCTGTGGGCAGTCTGCAGGACAGGGCCTGCACCTGGTGCTCCCATGTGACCTGCTGTCTGTCCCTAGCAAGAGGGCAGCAGCACCCTCAGATATGAAATCTCACCATGTCCCCTCACCTCGCTGCTGCCAGACGCTCTAGAACACCAGTGGGACAGGCAGTCTGTGGTGAGCTCGGGACAACCAAGTGGGGATGTGTCAACACRTGCCACCACGTGCCCACCCACCCAGGTGCAGGAACCCATTCCAGCAACCCACGCCCAGCGCTGGCGGGGGACCGTGGTGAGCACAGCGCTCTGTAGAGAGCAGCTCAGTGGCAAGTCTGATCCAGAACACTTCCGCTTAACCATTTCTCAATGCTGTGCAGTTCATCCCCCTCTTGGGGACAGCGGGAAGGGCACACCTGGGCCCCTCAAGATCGGCCAGCCGCTCTTCCCAGCAAAGTGTCCAGGCAAACCGAACCTGGTGGAGCACTGGAGCCCGTGGGGCCCGGCACAGTGGCAATGGAGGGCAGGGTTCTCAGGTGCTCAGGAGCCACCCACACAGTGCCAGGAGGCAGCACCTCGGGCTGCGTGACTGGTGGGTGCAAGTCCTGCTCTGCTGCTGTGGCTCAGTCTCCTCCTGGGTAAAGGGGAGTACCGCCACCTCCACCTACCTGCTGGGCTGCCGCATGGAGCTCTCAGGGGAAACACCCACTTCCCATTACCTGCCTCAAGTCACCACAGCCCTCCTTCTCAGGGACAGTCCAAGACCAGCCAGGCCTGCCCTGCTGGAGGCCAGTGGAGCATCCCACACCAGAGCAGCGGTGGGCAGTCTCGCTCACACAGCACAGGGACAGGGCACCAGTGACCCAGGCACAAAACCTCAGGGGGCAGGAGGCCAAACTGGGACCCTTACTTCCAGAACAACCAATACCCCATCAGTTTCGTCTTTAATCACATTCTTAACATGCAGACATCTGTCCCTTGAAGTTTTATCTGCTCCCGTCTGTCATCTTCAAAATGAAAGTCCAGAACCTTCTGCACTCATCTTGAAGTCAGGCTGAACATTCAGTAATGAACACAGCTGAACACACAAAAGAAAGGCAGCGTTTTAAAATCTCGTGCATTTCTGCTCACTAGCGAGAGCAAAGCCCTCCCTTGGCTATAGCTGTTCTCGTCCCCACCAGAAACCCTGAGGTGTGTCCTTACACCGGCCCCAGACTGTCCTCAGCTGTCTAGAATGGGGACACAGAGACAATGCTCCTCTCCAATGACTCACACAGCACACATGGGGGTGCACGAGACCCAAGACCACCGAGTGAATCCCAGGGCCTGTGCCAGCTCACCGAGGACAGGCACACAGGGAACAGACCTGCCTGAACTTCCCCCGGATCCTGTCCAGGTCTTCGTGGAGCTTGTCGTAAGCAGGGTCATCGTAGGGGAACTTCTCAATCATTCCCATCAGTGACTCCAAGACCTTCATCTTCCTGCTGAAAGCACAGAAGCAGACCTTCAGATCCTTGGGACACAAAAGGCCAACATGTGCAGTGGCCACACSGTCACCTGAAGAAGCAAGCCTGCTGAGAAGGCTCAGGCTCAGGGCAGAAAATGGATTTCCTCATTACATCAAATCACGCTGGTTTACCTACCAACATGGCTGTCACTCACGCCCAGCACCTTGACAGCAGGGTCCCAACTGTCGATGTGCCTGCGTCCCTGCCAGAGCTGGGCAGGCCACCTGCGCCCAGCCGCCTCTCCAGGGAAGGAGACAGGAGGCGACAGAAAAGAGAGGCCCTGATCCAAGACACTTACACACCCCCATCTTTCAACCTTGCTGTCCTATCTGCAAAACGGGGAGTGACAACAGCTCATGGGTTACAAGTGTTAGCTCATTTGTGTGACCTGCAGGACAGAGGACGTGCACAGTCGTATGAGTGTCCTCGATTCCAGTGACCCTGGGACCACGGCTCCCCTGGGGCAGTTTAAAGATCACTCAATGCACATCCAGGTGGGGCCCAGGGCTTTCCAAGGGACAGCGACTCTTAGGATGACCCTGCTCGGGGCCATCTGTCCCAGAGGACAGAAGCATGCCGGATACACACGCAATGGCGATTCAGAGCAGCCAGGTCCCACGCGCTGGCCGAGAGCTGGTCTTCACAGAGGTGCAGGTGAGCACACTCACCGAGGGCAAGCCAGCACCTAAGGACCACCTCGCCTGGAAAATGCCAAACCATGAAAGTCCAATGCAAGGCAGTCAAGCCCCGGCTTCCCAGAGACTGGAGGAAGGTGTTAAGGTGAGGTTGGGGGCATTCTGGGTGGGAGAATCCCATCCATGTCCCCTCTGCAGGTGGTTGATCTCTTCCCTGCTCAGGGAGCACCTRCAGACACACCTGGCGGGCAGCTCAGGTAGGCACACATTTACAGGTGTGGGCAGTCCTRCCAGCACCGCTGTGGCAGGGGTCGCCAGCTACTAAGAAGGGAATAGCAGCATCTTGGAGTGACCAAGCGCCAATGCCGGGACTGAGGGCCACCTCTCCACGCCTCCCAGGCACTGCGCTACCGCTCCTTCACGTGGGCCACGCAGACAGCAGTCCTTTGCCCTTTCACATCCTTGCAGTAGAATGTCACCTAGCAGCCCTTTCTCACTTTAAAAAACATACTGGGCTGCAGGCGTAGCTCAGTGGCAGAGCACTTGCTTGGTGTGCACAAGGCCCTGGGTTCCATCCCCAGCACCAGAAAGAGAAGAAAATATTTGTACTGACTTCTTTGTGTGTGTGTGTGTGTGTGTGGTGCTGGGGAGGGAACCCAGGGCCTTGTGCAGGTTGGGCAAACGCTCTACATACTGAGCTGCATGCCCAGCCCTTTGCACTGACTTATAAACCCAACATCTGTGAAGACAAAGCTCTGGGTCCAGCGACCCCAGGCTGCACGTGTGGGGGCTGGCAGGGTTCCCACCAGCCTGGCATCAGCGGCAGCAGGTTGTCTTCTTTTGGACAGACTGGGTGGGCTGCTCTGAGGAGTTAGGAAAGCCAGACTTTAGAAGTGGGGAGAGTGAGCTGGCCTAGGAGCTCAAGTTGGCGCCCTCCCTCTCCTCATCCTCTGGCCCCTGAGTGGAAAGCACAGCTCTGGACGCCACCTGGTGGCAACACAGGCTGCCACAGCTGCCCTGTAGCTGGGAGAAGCAGCCTCTGCACAAGTACCACCTGCTCAGATACGCGGAGCAGGCAAGGGACTGGGACAAGTCAGACGCAGGCAACCCCAGAACCACTCAGGCACAGCACCTTTGTTGTGACTTCTGAATATGGGTATGGCCTGGGCTCTAAAAACTCAAGATATTTCAAATAAAAGGACAAGCTGTATGAACAGGGATGCCACCTACAAGGGCCAGGACACCAGGTGTCAGACGATGCAGAGTTCAAGCTTAAGTCTGCTTTCTCTCACTCCTGAGAGCCTCGTGCCTTTCTTTTCACTGGAGGGCTGTTTCCGACCTGAGGGAGGACAGGCAAGACAGGCTCACAAGGGGCTCGGGCAGGCAGACGCAGCGAGGCTGAACCCCTTCAGATAATAACAGCAGCACCTCCTGGTGTCAGAAATGAGTTTACCACAGCCAAACGCACCTGGGTAGGTCGTACTAAACTGGGGACCATGGAGTGGGCACTTCTGAGCCCTAGTCACACTGAGACGACAGTGATCTATCTGTTCATCAAAAGCTCAGGAGTGAGAAGTACAAATTTTAACATCACTTTACCGTCTTGGTGTCCACAAGCACTTGGTGCACTGGTGATTCCAGGGAAATGGCTGGGAAAGGAACTTTTTAGGGAATTGAAAACTACCAGTGTTCATCAAATGACTACGATGTGCCCAACATTTTGTCTTTATTATTTCCTTTAAATCTAACAGCATTTAAGTTTGACATTATTATTTTCTCCACTTAACAGATGAGAAAATGGAAAACTAATGCCCAAGGTCACTGTTAGTGAACTCAGCACCCCTCCTGGAAAAAAGGAAAGGACGCTCAGAGCTCACCTGTCTCTCTCGCTGGCATCACTGTGTAGGAGATGCTTCCACGCAAAAGCAAAGCCTTGATAGCACCCAATCTGTATTTTAAAGACGTTGGAGAGTAAAATTAATAAGAGCTGGCTACACTGAACCTAATTACCAAATTCCTAGACACAAGGAGGGGTGGAGACAGCTGTGCTTCTGCTAGTGTTTTGGAAGGACCCACGGAGCACGGGCAGTGGCAACTAGGCAGCTAATCAGTGGGGCAGCCAGCCCTCATTCCTCCCCTGCGTTCACACCCTGAGCAGTTCCCCTGACCACAGGGAGGCCTGTACAATCACAGAACATGGAGGCAAAGAGAAGGTGTGATTCTGAGGATAGAGAGACGGGGACTCCTGTGTTGCTTTCTTGGACCACTTGCCCTTCAGTGCTAGGAGGACCTRAGGAGTTTTGTGGAGAGGTCCATGCCCACTGTCATGTGAGTGTGCCACCTTCAGGGTGGATCCTCCAGCCCTAGCCAAGCCTTCAGATGAGAATGAAGCCGGGGATGACATCTGGGCATAGCCTCAGGAGACCCCACTGCTGCTGAGGGACATCCTGACCTCAGCAAGAGGTACACAGGGAATGCTGTCCTCACTGCCTTGCCTCAGACTCTGCACTCAGGGCCAGTTACCTGTAAGAGGGCCAACCTCTTATAGGTAAGAACGTGGTTCTGTAGCATCTCAATACAAACACAGGCGCTGGGTCTCTGGGAGAGGACCCAGGTGGCTGAAGACAGCGTCCTGCCTCCAATGCAAGTGGAGGCAACCAACGGCTTCTCATCCTCCAGCCACATAACTTAATGGTGCTGCGGCCATGGGTCCCAAGAACACTTCCGGCAGGGACCTGGGCGGCCTGGAAAGGCCCACACAAGGCTTGGGCCTTCAGAGCTTGGTGTCCCACTCAACACACGGAGCATCTGAGTACATTACAAACTGGAAAAGCGTCCATGTGAGCGGAGGCTCCCACTGACCTCAGACCCAATTTTGGCTCCACGCAGAGCGCCATGCTGTCTTCCTTCAATCCGACCCAAACTGCTGCCGTCTTCGTAGCCTTCCTGATAGCCTTCCCCGTGGAATCTGATGGAGGAGCCGAGGCAGCGATAAACCCAGGGAGGTGCTTCGGGAGACCCTCCCTCTCGGTGCCACCCACAGCCCGCCCAGGCCGAGCAGGCTCGAGCAGCAGAGGCCCGAAGCCCAGGCCAACCGCCGGTTCCCGCCGCGGCCGCAGCCCAATCCCGCGAAGCTACCCCTCGGTCAGGGCGGACGCGGGTGAGGACCGCCCGAGAGGGACGGCCTCCAGCAAGGCCGGAGCCTCCCGCCGCCCTCGCCGCCGGCTCCACGGTTTCCCGACCCCGACATCCACGTCTCGGGGACGCGGACCGGGCTGCAGCGCCGCCGGGACCGGCGCTCGGGAGCCGCTCAGCAGCTCCTTCCGGGAGCCGGCGGCCGGAGAGGCGCTCGGCCGGGTCCCCTCGCGCGACACCGCTGCCCACTCGGGCGCGGGCAGCCACCGTCCGCGGTCCCGGCCGTGCCCCTCACCTCTCATCCGCCATCACGATGGCGTCGAACATGTCCTGCCTCCCGGCCATCGCCACTGGCGCTCCTGGCTCACGGCGCCGCGAGGCTCTGGCAGCAACACACCACTTCCGAGGACGCCGAGCCCACTTCCGGGGACGGCCGCGCGGAGCAGGCTGGGTAGGGACGGCACGCGAGAAGGCCCAAAAGGGTTCAGGACGCACGCTTCCCCCTCGACCCCCCCCCCGTTGTTCCGCAGTGGGCCAGTCCGTTCCCGCCGGAAGCGTCCACATGGCCGCACGTGGGGGAAACCGGACACGTCTGCATTGTTTTAAAAAAAAAATGAGTAGATGGGACCGTGTTGGCCAGTGTGGCTCGGAGAGACAYCCGAGGAGTTGTCACAGAACCGACTCCCCAGGCTGCCCGGCCCGGAGGCTCGGGTCGCGGGCGAGGCTGGCAGGTGCCACCGGCTAGATCCCCGGCCAGGGGGATGGGTGCTGGGATGCCAAAAAAAGGAGGTCATAACGTTGCCCCTCCCAAAATGCAAGAGTGATCTGGAGATGGGGAAGAAAAGGTTGTGTGTGCGCTGTTACCTTGTTTTTTTTTGGTCTTTTTAATCCTTTTTTGTATTTTTTTATACTTTTTTAGTAATTGTTTTTTACAGGGCTGAGGACCGAACCCAGGGCCTTACGCATGCTAGGCAAGCGCTCTGCCACTGGGCTAAATCCCCAACCCCGAGCACTGGCTCTGGCTGTTGGTGTTTTAAGCAAAACCTAGCACTCTCTCTTGCTGTTGGTGTTTTAAGCAAAACCCAGCACTGTCTCTCGCTGTTGGTGTTTTAAGCAAAACCAGCTAGAGCCCCCACCAGAGGTGATGGGTGCTGGGATGCCAAAAACAGGATGTCATAACGTTGCCCCTCCCAAAATGCAAGAGTGATCTGGAGATGGGGAAGAAAAGGTTGTGTGTGCGCTGTTACCTTGTTTTTTTTTGG